TTTCCTCGTCCATTGTGACCGGTTTACTTGAGCAATAGCGCCGACAAGTGTGTAAATTTGAGACCGCGCTCACAGCTACGTGATAAGAAGCGCAGAAGAAGAAAACTACGGGTGCTTGGAGGGACAGTTTCAGCCGCGGCGCCGCGTCTGGATTCAACAAAACTGAATCGTGGCGCCCGGTCCAGCGTCGCCGCGCGTCACTGCAACCTTGGTGTGCGTTCTCTCATAGAAAATAAAGGAGGCGGCTCTTTTGCCGCGCGTCAAGGCGTTTCGGTGTGCGTTGGGCTTCAGTCATTCAGCCAACTTCACTTCTTGGTGGAGACCAGGAAAGACCCAGGACATGTTGGAGGGACTGTGTCTCTCAGCTGGCCTGGCAACGCCTCAGGATTCCTCCTGATGAGCTGGAGGAAGTGTGTGGAGTGGGACGTCTGGGCATCTGCTCTGACCCTAACGGAAAAAAAGGAAGAACATATTATATTTTGTATGTTTTTCTCATTAATTGACCACTGTGTATGCAATGAAAGAATAATGACCTGTGAAGCATCTTGTTGAGTGCCCAAAAAATCTACACAAAACCGATTAATAATAGGACTCGAATATGTATATTGTTTTAGCACTAGTTTTCAACTATTTAAATAATTAGTATTTAGTCTTGTGACAGTACCAGAGTCTAGATATGAAGTTGTAAATGATTGTTTACTAAAATAGTTGATTTTTGAAATTGGTAAATCATTTTTAAAATAGTTGTAATAAGAAAATGATCATTAAATGGTTTATTGAATCTTCGATAGTCATTAACATGTGAGGAGAGGCTCAGTCTCAGCTAAATCCATATTGACTGCAGAATGAAAAGAAAATGTGTCTACAATCCAAGCAGGAGTCATCACTTGGGTCAAATGGAGAATGGGTAAAACTTTTTTTTTTATAACAGCCTTAGTTTCCACTATTCGTTGTCACACAAATAGTAAACTAATACTCAAATCTATGTCTCACTGACTGCAGGAGAACATGGACCAGTGGACTCACTCCTTTACTGTATCCAACAGATCAGTGAGTGGATGCAAAATAACTTCCTTCAGCTAAACGCAGACAAAACTGAAATGATTGTCTTTGGTCCCCAGAAACAAAGAGTGTCATCTGTCACCTTCAGTCTCTCTCCCTAAAACCTTCAAACCCGGGTTTGAAGGTTTTAGGCAGAGAGACTGGAGGTGACAGGTCCCTCTTTGTTTCTGGGGACCAAAGACAATCATTTCAGTTTTGTCTGCGTTTAGCTGAAGGAAGTTATTTTGCATCCACTCACTGATCTGTTGGGGTAATACTGGACTCAGACTTAAATTTTAATAGCCACATCAAATCAGTAACATCAGCAGCTTTTTACCATCTAAAAAATATTGCCAGCGTTATACGCGCAGCAGACGTGCATAACTTTTTCCCATGTTAACCAATGGGGATATTTTCATCAGTCCTCTGGCCCGTACTGTCCTCTACACTGCTCCATAGACTACACAAGGACAGCATCAGAAGCTGCGGACCTGCACGCACGGCCAGTGTAGATACTGCAAAAAAAAATTACGCGCAGTCAACGCTTACGCACTGGTAACGCCTACTGTGTAAATTCCCTGTGATGAGGGGCATGGACACAGCAGGTCTTTGCTCCTCCGCTGAAACCATCTATATCCAGACACGAACTACAGTTTGTGTCTGGATGCACTTATAATTTTGCTCACCTTCTGCAGCTGTGATGATCGGGGTTCTTCAGGAACATGCACATGTGTCATGTCTGGACTTTGCCCCTGTTCTTACTAAAGCCATGTCTGAGACTCCAGTCCTGAAGGAGGAGATAGAGAAGTTAGCACTTTATTGATCACACAGTGGCAGAATTTCACCTGACAGCTGTTGGTTAACTCGTTGTGTGCCATTGACGCACTAATACAGCAATTGCGTTTCTCTATTTTCATGTTCCCAGATGTCTATTATATCTAATATGTATGGGGATTCGCTTGAGAGCATTTTTTAATCAAGCCAACAGGTGGCAGCAGCGCTCTGGATTGTTTGAAAACAGCTAGATGCACTTATTGTGCCTCGTTTTTCTCAGCTTTATGGTGATTTCAGTAAAACATCCCTCTACTTGACTCGACTGGGGATTACAGGGGAACGAAACAAGCTAGAAACACAATTCTTTTTGCTGCTGAAGTAGTCCATTCTTTCAGAATCTGGTTTCGGATTCCAGTCATAGTACACAATATTCTGTGGGTCTTGAAAAATCTATAAACTCATCAGAAACTGCTGGCAACATGGGAGTACCTGTTCTGAGATAGACACTCATTGCCTACCAGCCTATTGTATTTCCATTCATAAACAAGAAAGGAGCCTGCATGCTGTCCTACTTGAATGGCTTTAAACATGTAACATTTGTAAATACATTCGACAATGCAAGTAAGGCAGTGTAGGATCTTGTTTTTTAATGCACGGAACACCATTGAGAGGCTCATACACTTTTGAATGAACTCAATAAGCAGAGCCTTTATTTGAAGAATATCTTGTACAGTTATATGTCTAATCAAACATACCTGACCTATGGTCCCATGAACGGTGGTTGCTTGGGCTTTGTATGCAGTCATTTCAAAGTATTTACCCTTTTCTCAAACATTAATTGTGATTGATGTCCACCTCGTTTCTTTCTTCCTCAAAAATAACAAAACAGTTTAATCTTCATGTCCTATTATTATTAATTCAACAGAGGTGAAAGTATTATAGTAGCAGAGTTTTTTTATCCACATAACAAATACAAAATCGGTAATATTGCTTCACTAAAACTTACACACAAAGTAATACAAGAGACATGTGTCAATATTATGTTTTCTTACATCACGAGCTGGAGCCTGTGTGCTACCAACCTTTCTGTCCATGTCTCAATAATAATTGTTACAGAAAATGGGGCAATGCATTTTCGCTCATAAACAATCATTTGACGTTGAGAAAAATAAGTTGTATTAATATTGAAAATTATCCATTTCGATCCATCATTTAACTTTACCTCTAGAAAGCGTCAGACAGTATCTTAAATCCGAATGGCCTGTGTAGTTGAAGCTAACATGACGTGATGCGGACTGAGGCCGTTCTGAAGATTTTCCAGAACTATTTTCAAACCAAAGCTAACAACAGACCGTCGCCTAAGCGTCCGAGCGCGTAGTAGCATCAAAACTGCCTTTAAATACGGATTACTCTATGAAATCTTAATATAAACAGACAAAACTTACCACGGAGGAAGATACACATGTGTAGAAAGTACCCACCAAATGTTAGCCGCGAGCGCTAATGCTAACAGCGGCAGTAAGGACGAGTTCCACAAAAAAGGTGGGGGTGTCCGACTCAGGATAATAGGCACCAGAAAGTGTCCGACTCAGGGTGCACTCCCGTTACATCCATCCAGAGCCACTGGCTCCGTGAGCTAGAGCTGTTTGTGACTAAGGAAGAAGAGTTTACACGGAAACAGCGAGGCTAACGACTAGCATTAGCATTAGCATTAGCCCCACACGGGCATCACTCAGATCTTGGCACAAACAAAGTTAAAGCTGGAATCCCCGAGGCCCACGCTGCTCAACGCCACAGTCTGTCAGTGGTGAATACAGAGTTTAAAGTCTTGTACTTACATCTGTCTCTGTGGGAGTGTACAAACTAGTGATGGTCGTGATGGAGAAATCTCTGAAGTTTTTTGCGAAGCCTGAGTTGTTTTAGGTGAATGACGTCACTAATGACGTTTGAAGCCTCGTGAGGACCGGAAATGGAGCGATTCATGAAGTACTGCAGAGGATCCTCTCAAACATTGTGGGTTTGTCTTGGTGATTAAGTTTGTGACTGAGATTATACATATATACATATAGAAATTATTGGTTTCAAACAACTGATAGGGTCACAATTGTCTTTTGTCCTGTAGGATTTATTTCATTATTTGTCACGGGGGCGGAGGGCCCCGTACAACCCTATTACTGTCCAATGGGGAGCACTCTATTAATTGACATTCAACACAATTGAAAGGAATAACAATTTTATTTAGGAACAATTAAAATTAATTATTAATACTATTATATAAAAGACTGGGTCCCAATTTAAAAATGCTATTTAAAAGAGTCGTCGAGGTCGTGGTGCGCCCCTCAAAAGCCGGTGCGCGCGCCGCTCCTGGTCTGCTCGGGTGCGCCGCTCCAGTCCGCCAGTGCGCACGGGTCTCAGGGCACAAAACGATCCACAGCAGCGGGGCTGCCTGTGTAGAGAGGGAGGGCCGTCAGCACACTAGGCCAGTGACAGGGGGGAGGCTTGGGCTGGTGGTGGTAGGGGCTACAAGCCCGGCTCACACAAAAAGCACACAGCACTCCAAATAACTAAAATAGCCACAGCCTTATTCCCACAACCACCGCCAACGAACAGGAAAGCCACTTAGCTGCGAGGAGGGGGGTCGCCGTACTCTCCCCCTCCAGTTCCCCACGACGCCTCCTGTCACCGGTGTCTCCTCCTCTGGTCCACTCCGCCAGGCTCCGTGCGCGGCGTCTCGTGCGCGCTATTTGCTCTGGCCCGATCGCTGCTCGCTCTGCCCCGTCTGCTCACTCCTGCTCCGGACACCTCCACACACATCACACTCACACCTGTCCTTTCTACCTAATTGCACTCACGCCCATCACGCACGCACACACGCACGCACGCCCATCCCACACACGCCCATCACGCTCCCTTTGTCCACCTTGTGACATCCTCCCCCACTAATATGTTCTAGTCCCTGGAACATCACTCATGCAGACACAGGGAACAAGAGGTCTAGTCCCTAAATCTTGGAGGCCGCACCCCCATATTGGGCCTCTGGGACCTCCTTGGTTCTGGTGGGGGCTCTGGGTCTTCTTGTACACCCCCCACCAGGGGCACCATAAATCCCCAGTGTGGCAATGAGGCGCCACAATTATAGTCACCTCCATGTTCCGCCTCTGGTTGTATGTAGTTAGGGCATGGTCTCAAGTTGTTGCGATGGATGACTCGTTCAGGGCCATCTCTTCCTTCAGGACGCACACTATAATTTGGGCGTTCGGGGTGGAGCCTGGTTACAACAACATGGGGTCTGGTCTGCCAGTGGTCACCCAGTTTCCCAGTCTGTCGCCTCCTGTGGTCACGCACTAGCACGCGCTCTCCCGGTAAAAGCGGGGCCTCCTTTGCAGTGCGATCATACAGTCTGTTATTTTTTTGACCTGCATTCTGAAGGCTCCTTGATGTCTTCTCGTAAGCATACGTCAGTTGCTGTTGGTGCCTAGTAACCCAGTCTGTAGCGTCCATAGGGGCTTTGGGGCTAAAACCCCCGGTCAATAGGTCAACTGGGGTCCTCATGTGGCGGCCAAACATCAAGAATGCTGGTGCGTATCCTGTAGAACAGGGGTGTCCAAACCGGTCCAGAAAGGGCCGCTGTGGCTGCAGGTTTTCTATCAGACCCAGCAGGACCAGAGCAGACTCCACCCATTTCCTCAAATCTTCAAGTTAAGACTGAACTCACTTGAGGAAATGGGTGGAGTCTACTCTGCTTCTGTTGGGTCTGATAGAAAACCTGCAGCCACAGCGGCCCTTTCTGGACCGGTTTGGACACCCCTGCTGTAGAAGCATGAACAGTGTTGTTATATGCTTGAATTAGTCCAGGTAAGTACTCCACCCATCGCTGGTGTTTCTCTACTTCAAGCGTGCCCAACAGGTTCAATAGAGTCTGGTTTAGCCTTTCACAGGCTCCGTTCCCCATTGGGTGATAGGGTGTCGTTCTACTCTTAATGCACCCGTAGATCTGACAGAGTTCTTGGATTAACCGAGACTCAAAATTTGGCCCTTGGTCCGAGTGTAACACCTCAGGGCAGCCAAATGGCTGGATCAAGTAAGTCCACAAGGCCCGTGCTGTAGTCAAGGCAGTTTGATCCAGGGTTGGGACCGCCCATGCAAACTTTGTGAACAAATCAGTCATGACTAATATATTTTGGTACCTATCTGTAGGGTGACTTAAGGTCAAGAAATCAACAGCAACAATGTGCATGGGGGCTCTCGCTACAAGTGGCACTAAAGGGGCCTTACCGTGGGGTCCGGGTTTGTGCAGCATGCATCGCGGGCAAGCAGATAGCCAGGTTTTGACCATGTCCTCCATTTGTGGCCAATAAAACTTCCTTCTTAAAAGAGTCAATGACTTCTCCAATCCTGGATGCCCCATCTGTTCGTGATATACAGTCCATAGGGGCCTCGCCTGTGATGTGGGGACAACAATCTGGGCAAGAGTCTCTAGAGTCTGGGGGTCTTGGACAATCCGACATAGAATCCCGTCCCTTAACTCTAGCCTCCTCCAGTGCCTCAACAAGATCTTGGCAGATTGGGTTAACAATTGTCTCTCGTTAGCGCACAGTAGGGTACCTCTTTCAACGTGCTCCTTTATGCTTTGTAAGTCGGGGTCTTCATTTTGTAGACTTCTCCAGCGCTCTGGGTCCCACCTCCAGCTATTGGGCGGAGAGTCCATAGACATAGTCTCTACTGCCCCAACCAGTCTCTCTTCTCCGGCCAATTCCCGGTCTGGGGGAGCAGGCAGTCTAGAAAGGACGTCGGCATTAGTGTTCTCCCTGCCTGGCCGGTATCTGATGGTGTAATCGAAATTTGCCAACTGTGCAGCCCACCTTTGTTCGACAGCCCCTAGTTTAGCAGTCTGCAGGTGCACTAGTGGATTGTTGTCTGTCACTACAGCAAACTTAGCCCCCCACAAATAGTCCTTGAACTTCTCAACTATAGCCCATTTCATCGCCAAAAGCTCAAGTTTAAAAGAGCTATAGTTTGAGTCGTTGCACTCAGCGGGATGTAAACTCCTACTCGCATATGCTATAACCCTTTCGACCCCATCTTGTACCTGGGCCAATACAGCTCCAAGCCCTGCATTACTAGCATCTGTGTATAACACAAATGGGAGTGTGTAATCCGCATACGCTAAAATGGGGGCCTGTAGCAATTCCTGCTTTAACTGCTGAAAGGCAGCGTCGCATTGGTCGGACCACTCAATAGAGGGGGAACGTCTGCCTCTATTACGGCCCGTGCCAACTAAAAGTGCATTTAGGGGTTTGGCAATTTTGGAAAAGTCCCTTACAAACCGCCTATAGTACCCCACAAATCCTAGAAATGAGCGCACTTGCCGTATCGTGGTAGGGGGTTGCCAATTAGATACGGCTGCTACCTTGTCTGGATCTGCCGAAACTCCCTGGCTACTGACGACATGTCCTAAAAACTTGACCTGCCTCTGGAAAAGCTGGCACTTCTCTGGGCGTAGCTTAAGGCCATACTGCCCCAGGGAGCGGAATACTGCCTCCAGGTGTTGGAGATGCTCTGGGAAGTCTCTGGAAAATAGAATCACATCATCCAGATAAACCATAGCAGACTCCGCTAGCCGATCTCCCAAATACCTTTGCATCAATCTTTGAAAGGTTGCAGGGGCATTGCACAACCCAAATGGCATCCTCTCAAACTCGAACAAACCAAATGGGGTTGTGAATGCGGTTTTTTCCCTGTCTTTCTCCTCTACCTCCACCTGCCAATAACCGCTGGCTAAATCCAACGTGGAATACCACTCTGCTTTAGTCAGGCTAGTTAGTGAATCTTCTATTCTGGGCAGGGGGTAGGCATCTTTATGCGTGACACTGTTAATTTTGCGGTAATCAACGCAAAAACGCCAAGAACCATTTTTCTTCTGAACCAGAACAATTGGGGCCGCCCACGGGCTACAACTCTCTCTGATTATTCCCCCGTCTAGCATTTCTTTAAGGAGGCTACGGATTTCCTTATAAAGGGTAGGGGGTACTGGCCTGTACCGCTCACGAATGGGGTTAGAGTCACCTGTGGGAATCCGGTGTTTCACAGCCCCCGTTTGTTCATAGTCTTCCTCGTGTGTCGAGAACACATGACTCCATCTTCGCAGTAGTTCATTCAATTGTCTTTGCTCATCATCTGTGAGTCCATCTCCTTTAGAGAGGGGAAGGGCATTAGTTGTCTCATTCCCCTCTGGTTTGTCCGGATCAGCGGTGTCGACCAGATTAACCTCCACGACTCCAGGACCCACATTCAGAATGGAGAGCTCCTTCCCATCCCGCACCGCGTCAGGGTCGACGGCCAAGACAGTCGCCAGCCTCTGGAACCTGCTGAGCGTTAGAGCGTACGGATGGACATTCCTAACCCTCACTGGAATGCGCGCCTTTCTCACAGTCACTAATGCTCTGGCCACCCCAACTCCTCCATCTTCCCCAAGGGGTTCTACCAGCGCACAGCCTGGCTGGTTTGAAGAGGGCCGTGGGATTTTGGCCCAAACAGTCATTTCACTTTGTGCGGGTATGGTTACAGGAGTACGACTGGCTAATCTCGCTGTAGCTTGCCATGGCTCTGCATTAGAGGCAGCACGGATGCGTTGACAGTCGATAAAAACAGTGTTCCATTCCCTGCTCAGTGGTGGCATCGAGTGTTTGGGGGAGGCCTTGTACTGCGTGAAAAGTTCTTCCCAACAGTCAGTAATCACGTTCATCCCTAGGATGGCTTTGTCTGCTCCAATACACTCGTCCTTAGGCACTACAATGCCACGTGCAGGTACCCGGACCCCATGGATTTCAAAGTCGGCCACCATGTACCCTACCCACGGGAGGTTAAGTCCGTTCGCTGCCCTCAGAGTGAGCCAGGGAATTTCATCACTATTACGAACTTGTTTGCTCCTAAAGAGCTCGTTGCATACACTCTCACTGAACAATGTTACTTGAGACCCTGTATCAAGCAGGCACTTCACGTTTATCCCATCTACTCTCACATCCACTAGAGGGCAGTCTCCAGTGAGTTTAACTCTTAAACCATTATAAGCTGGGTCACTTGGAAGAGGTCCGGACACTTGACCCGCAGTGGCCGGGGAGCCTATAAATCCTGCCCAGCTGGTTTGGAGGGGCACCTACGACTGATATGACCAATTTGTTCACATAAGTTGCAAATGGGACGGCCCTGGGGGTCCCACCTGAATCTGCCATGGCTATATGGGGACTTTGGTCTTGGGCTTCGGTCCCTGTATCGGGGGGACCCAGAAGTTGGAGAATTAGGTTGAGGTCCTGCTGCACCCTTTAACTGGTCTAAAATAGTCCTCGTCATTTCAGACATATGCTCCTTTACATCCTTCAGGATCTCAGCACGCAGCTCTTGTTTCCAATCAGTACCGTGTGAGCTCACGGGTGTGGTTTTACTCACCGCTGTACACTCGAAAGCAGGCCATTGCTGTCCTTGTTCATCCTCCAATGCTAAAGCTTCCATCTTTACCTCATCGAAGGTGAGCTGGGGGGCTTTTCGTACCTGCCGACGAAGCTCTTGCCGTACTGGTCCTTCTTTAAGGCCCAGGATGAACTGGTCTCGCAACACCAGGTCTCCTTGCCCCAAGCCCATGGTGTCTTTTTGTTTAAGCCTGGAAAACAGTTCACGCAAGTGTAGGGAAAAAGACCTCAAAGTCTGATTAGGCTCCTGTCTGCAATTAAAGAATTGTGTTCTTAAAGCGGAGACATGGGTGTTGTCCCCGTACAGTTCAGACAGTGCATCAAATATTTTCTTTGGGGTGTTTCGATCTCCACGATCCAAAGCCAAAATTTCACGTTTTGCTTCTCCGTCTAAAAACCCTATTACAAAGTCTGCTTTGTGTGCGTCCCTTATTTGTTGAAACGTGAGCATAGTCTCTAATTGGGATCGCCATTCTCCCAACCTAATCTCAGATCCAACCCCGTTAAATTTAGACACCCAAGGTCCTCCCATTAAAAATGGCAACATCATCATTGGCTGCGCACCTGCGTGCAATTCGTCGGTTGACATGCCTAATTAATAGAGGCTCAACCCAATTGGACAATCCTGTCATGCAACGCCACTTGTCACGGGGGCGGAGGGCCCCGTACAACCCTATTACTGTCCAATGGGGAGCACTCTATTAATTGACATTCAACACAATTGAAAGGAATAACAATTTTATTTAGGAACAATTAAAATTAATTATTAATACTATTATATAAAAGACTGGGTCCCAATTTAAAAATGCTATTTAAAAGAGTCGTGGAGGTCGTGGTGCGCCCCTCAAAAGCCGGTGCGCGCGCCGCTCCTGGTCTGCTCGGGTGCGCCGCTCCAGTCCGCCAGTGCGCACGGGTCTCAGGGCACAAAACGATCCACAGCAGCGGGGCTGCCTGTGTAGAGAGGGAGGGCCGTCAGCACACTAGGCCAGTGACAGGGGGGGAGGCTTGGGCTGGTGGTGTAGGGGCTACAAGCCCGGCTCACACAAAAAGCACACAGCACTCCAAATAACTAAAATAGCCACAGCCTTATTCCCACAACCACCGCCAACGAACAGGAAAACCACTTAGCTGCGAGGAGGGGGGTCGCCGTACTCTCCCCCTCCAGTTCCCCACGACGCCTCCTGTCACCGGTGTCTCCTCCTCTGGTCCACTCCGCCAGGCTCCGTGCGCGGCGTCTCGTGCGCGCTGTTTGCTCTGGCCCGATCGCTGCTCGCTCTGCCCCGTCTGCTCACTCCTGCTCCGGACACCTCCACACACATCACACTCACACCTGTCCTTTCTACCTAATTGCACTCACGCCCATCACGCACGCACACACGCACGCACGCCCATCACACACACGCCCATCACGCACGCACGCACACGCTCCCTTGGTCCACCTTGTGACATATTTATATATTAAATATGTATCTATATCATGTGTGCGTGTTACAGCAGACAACTGTACCAGTACATTATAATGTTATTGTCATTAAAATGTATTCGTTATTACTACTGATATTGAACATATTCAAACACCAATGGATGGAAAGGTTCAACACTTCATGAAGCTTCATCAACCTAACACAGGGGTCTCCAACCTTTTTCAATCAGAGAGCAACTTTTTCACAACAGAAGAGGCAGAGAGCTACTCCTTTTTGTGGTCATAATAAAACTGTATGTAATAATTACAAAAAAAACATAGAAATCAGAAAATCCTTAATACTGTATAACCCTAGATTTATACTTAGAACAGATATGAAATGACTAAAAATGTATTCATTAAAGATCCTTTGTTAAATTCTAAATCCTTTGGGAAGCTACCTGAAAGGGACTAGATAGCTACTGGTAGCTCCCGATCCACAGGTTGGAGACCCCTGACCTAACGTCAATATGGATTTAGAAAGGACAAATCAACTGAACTTGCATTATTGTCTGAACTAGTTTTCCTCCTTTGATCTTCCTTCATGGTCCCAAACAGACGACATATTTGTATTCATTAGTTCATTTCTTTGAATGAGGGCAGTACATATGAATGTGTCAGAAACAGCTTCAACATAAAGATGCTGGAATTAGCACCATTACGTGCCAGAGAGTCCAGGGTGGTAGCACGCAGCGTCTGTTGTGAATAACCGGGTGTGGAATGATGTAAAAGGTGAGAGGTCGTAGGTTCTATGTAATAATAATATGGTTAATGTACAGAACTCAGGATCTCATAATAACAAAAATACCAAGCAGAAATGTGTATAAACAAAGGTGCAGCGTTGGACGCAGACGTCAGCTCCCAGTTGGGCCGGGGGCCTTTTATGCCGGGGCAGATGGGCATCCAGCAGGTGGTGGTCATCAGCCAATGGATGCATGTGACGTCCCGGCCACGCCCACTCTCCTTGACATCTGCTCCAGTCTAAGGGGATGCTTTGTTAACGACATACTGATAGAGATCATGTGGGGTGAATTCGGGCAAAATAAGACATTTAATTTAATCAATAAAATTGACTGGGGGAGAAGGTACGGGGCAACATCCAGTTCGGGCACTATATGCCCGCGTGCATCGGCGCCGATGCACGCGCACATGTTTTACAAATGATCAATTTACTCGCGAACGGTAAAACGTAGCAACTTACTTTTTTTTCCTCTGTGAAGTACGTATTTCCGAAACTAGTTTTGATTTGTCTGTGCGATGCACGGAGGATAAACTACGTTTGTCTGAAAGTCCGTGTCCAAAGCGTGACCCGTGAGGTACAAACAGCTGTGAGATACAAACACACGGGGACTGCCAAAGATCGTCAGAGAGTGAGATCTCTCACTTCTCTGCGTTTACTTGTTGTCCCACAGTTGAAACTACAGCTGCGATTGCAATAACCGGCTGAAGAGTGCGCATTATTGATAAAGACGATAATAAATACAGTAAAATGACATTATGTGTATATGATGTATATAAATATATGTATTATATAAATAATTGATGTATTTTTTTTTTTTTTTGGCTCAGTTTCTTATGTTTTACGTTTTTTACAGCTGTACTACAGAAGCAACCCCAGCATTATAAACAAACTGCTTCAGGAAGGGCATCAGGAGTACAGAGTTTTTTGCTTTTATAGTGGAATTTTTTAAAAAGTATAATAGTTAGAGATTCAATTTTTTTCCCCATTATCCCCAAGACCATAAATAACATTTCTATCCAGTGTAAAAAGTTGTCTATAGCATTTCATTGTGTATTTTCAATACATTTTTGTTAAATTGATTTTCCGTTTGATTTTTTTCTTTGTCTTCATAATTCCATAATTTGTATATAATTTATAAGACAGCCTTACAATATGAATATTCTAAAACCCCAGGTTGTACTGAAAAAAACAAAGTATACTGCTTGACTCTGCATCAAAAGATGACTGTTTTATGAACAATTATACACAAAGAAAACCAGGCGAGGAAAGTTCCCCAAAATGACCCATGTGCATAGGAGACTATCCTTGTTAAAAACTATTTTTTTCTGATAAAACACATTAAAACATGTATTTCCCACCTTTGCAATGTGTTTTCGTGTTATAGATAAGTAATAAATCAATAAAATAACTTGTTAACATGAACGCCTCTGATTGGCCAGAAACAATGATGACGTACGTGTAGAGATCCAGCTCCTGCCTCACTGTTTATGGCATTGCTCCTGCTGCCGCTTTGACACAAATAAACCTTAACGTGAGCCATGAGTCGAGGTGATTGTGAGGTTCCTTTGAGAAAAACTACTTTCGGACAAAATGTTCTGTCGTACAGGGGCTGTGTAGAATGGAACAGTTTGCCGACTTCCCCTAGTTTTGCTTCATTTAAACGTTTCCTAAAGGAGTCGTTAAGGTCGTCTCAAACATGCGACCATTAATAATGTTGGGGAACATTGGATTTTGTTTGTAAAGAGGTCCTGTGTAGATTTGGTTGACTGTAATGCAAGGAACAGGGTGTGTGCAATAATTTGATGTGTGCAATAACGGGATGAGTGCAATGATGTGGACTCTAACATTGAGGACTTTGGTGGACTACTAAAGTGTGTCCTGTAGCAGACGCAAGGTGTTTTTTGTTGGTTTGTTATTTTTGTCCTTTGTTTCTGTTAATGTGGCTGTATTTGACCCATGTGACCCTGACCCTATGGGACTACAGATGGAAATTGTAATCTGGCATGTTTACATTCATGTTTTTAATGTGTCTGTTCATTGACATGCACTGTCCCATTCAAATAAATAAATAATAATAACATGGGTGTATTTTGCATTCCCCGGGATGCAGCAATGAAAGTGACCAAAAGAAGAGGGTAAACAGCAGTCCCTACGATTTTTGACTTATTCAGAGAAGATCCAAACAAACTGAGAGAAGACACCAGCGCGAGTTCCATGAAATTAGTTCTATCAAGCTCCGACTAAAACCAGTTTAACGAGTTTCAACCCAGTATCCAGCAGAAAACACAACAACTGTCATTGAACCATGAATCCATGTTTCACTCTAACTACGTTTAGTAAAAGATATAGATATGACACATACCATCATGTTTACACTTTAGAACCACAGACACACGTTTAGTATGAGACTTTAGAACCACAGACACATGTTCAGAATAAGACTTTAGAACCACAGACACATGTTCAGACCATATATGTTTACATTTAATGGAAGATCTGGAGCTGGGACATGGAGTTGAGGCTTCTCTCTCTCGGTGTTGTGGGTATTGACCATAGACTGTATATATTAACGGACAGAGTCACGCCTTTCTCCGCTGTTCTAACTAATGGGCCAGAAAATGTGCTCTACTGGAGCAATCCAAAATGGCCGTGAGTGGTCCCGCCCACAAGAAAATTGTAAAAAAACGCATCTGCGCATGTGTCAGCCGGCGCAACTCCATTCATTTGAACGAGAGACTTCAGAAATTCACAGCAAGTAAACTAGAGTGGACCAAAAAAATCCACCCCCCTCAGCATTGACACACATGTGGAACGGAGCTTTGGGCCAAGAGCCAACTTTTGGTCCATCCTGTAAAGACGTTTTTGAGAGGTCTGCCAATGCTATATGTTAGCATATAGCATTCTCGAGATCCATGCGTCCAGCCCGTGGAAACGGCTGTAATGTTCGTAAATGTTGACTTCTTGAAGA